TCCACCCCTCCTCCCCAGCCTCCCTAGCCACCAACCCCCTAAACTCCTCATTAAACAGCACAACCGCCAGTCCCACGACCGCAGAGGGCTCCACAAAACACTTCATTCTCTCAAGCACCAGCCGCATCGCCTTCTTAATCTGGTCCTCGGTCACGGCAAACAATCCCGCCACATACTCTGGTTTCGAAACAACACTCCAGTTGTGCTCGCCGAGCGGCGTACGCAAGCCATCTGCAATCGTAAGCGTCTTGACGGATGTAACGCGCTCGCCGGCCGCAACACCCCTGCGCGCATCGTCGCCGCCCTGGAAACTCGGTTCCGCGCCGAATACGCGGATGCCCGTGCCATGGAGTGCGGTTGCGATGCCGCTGAGCATGCCGCCGCCGCCACAAGGTGCGATGACCGCATCGAGTTTTTTGCTTCCGGAAGATGACTGAGCGATGAGCCTGGTAGCTTGGTCCTGGAGTTCAAGTGCCAAGGTGCCTTGACCGAGGATAATATTCGGGTCGTCATACGGCGGGATAAGGGTGGCGCCTGTATCTTTGATTACGGTAGCGACGACGGCCTCGCGCTCGGTGCTTGTGGAGCCTGAGAAGTGGACAGTTGCGTTTTGAGCTTTTGTGCCTGCGATTTTCGAGGGTGTCGAGATGGTGGGCATGACGATGTGGGCGGGGATGGAGAAGGTGCGGGCGGCGAGGGCGAGGGCTTGCGCGTGGTTTCCTGTGAATAGAAAAAATTAGATTGGGGAGTCGGTATTGGGAAAGAAGAAGATGTACCGCTACTATGTGTTACTACTCCTTTTTTGCGTACTTCGTCTATGCCTTCTTTCTCAATCAGGCGCGTAACGGCGTGGAAGGCGCCGCGGACTTTGAATGCGCCGATGCGTTGGAAGTTTTCGCATTTGAAGAACAAGCTGATTTTTGGATGGGCGGGTTCTTGACCTTCCCATTGTGTTCCTTTCAGTGCTTCGGCTGTCTGGGGTGTCGAGGCAAGATTGCTCAGCGTGGTGTTGGTGAGCACGGGGGTATCATGGATGTGGGGTTTGATAAGAGCATGAGCGGCTTCGACGTTTGAACGCGTCAAGGAGTGATGGATTTGTGTGGACGCCATGATTGGGGGTGAGGAAAAGGAGACGAGTAGTTTGGGGACATGTTTATTTGAGTCAGAGAATGTATGCGGTGCTGCTTAGATATACAGCGGGGAAGATGGCGTGCGTAGTGGGGGAGGGTTGCCACGAGTCATGGCTGTGCCGTTGTTCCTGGGCCGATGACACGATGAACCCTTCTCCACAATTCAACCCCACACATAGTTCCCGACTACGTACGTTGTCGTTGTATTAAGGTGCAAGGGGTCCAGGTAGTGACAGGGTTATATGGTGCTAACAGTTACTTGACAAGAACGTGATCTTCTTCGAACCCCTCTGTAGAAACCAACCTTTTTGGGTAAACGAGGACGTCGTCAAATCTGTGCAACTATTCAGAAGTCTGTTTGTTTACACAACAATGAAAAATGGCCATATTCACCTTGCATCTTGATAGTCCTGTCGATTTTGCACAAAACAAAGCAAATATTTTAGTGAGATATGGAAGACATTTAAAGACTCATAGGGAGTCATGATTCAGATTCTGGTGATGTATGATCAACGTACTACTATCTCAATCTGAAAAGAACAAGATTGCCCAGCTAGAGACTCGGTCGTTGTATCCTATCTACTATCCATCAATCCATTCATTATCCATGATTCATTATCCATTATCCATCAATGACAGTCCCCATCCATCTGTGTCAGGTGCCGCCCATCAGTGGAAGTTACCACCATCAGTGGCAGTCACCCTCTTCTCGATGTTGAGAGCCTTGATCAAGTCAGGGTACCAGGGTTTCTGAGGAGAATCGGGAGTGAGGAGATTGCTGACGCGCACGTTGACTTCGCCAGCGCGGATGTTGAAGCGAGCAGCGCGATATAGATCAATTGCCCACTGCTTGTCGTTGTGCCGAAAATTCTCGAAGATATGAATGTCGAGGACACCTAGCTCCGTGATGTTATTGGTGAGAAGGCGGAGGGTTCGTGCACCAGGGCAGTATCGGTAGAGGTCTCCGACGGAACTGAACCAGATGACTTTGCGAAGCTCATGGCTGTCACGATCAAGGAAGGCGCGACGTTCAGGATCGAGCAGCTCAAGGCGTGAGTCCATGATGCCAATCTCGAGAGTGATGCGTCGGAGGGAGCTTAGAGCCCGCCTCATTGGGAGGAGAGGACCAAGGGAGTTGCCATGTTTGTTCCTGCTTGACTCGAATTCGATTGGAAACTGAAACATAGTCATGCCATAGAAGATAGACTTTGTGAGATCATGGAATTTTGACGAGACGCAGCACAAGTTGGCGAGCTGCTCAAAGAGCTTTGCCATGGTGTCGTAGTGCCGTCCATGGATGACACTACCGTTGTGACCGAGGGTGTAGAAGATGATCTTGCAAAGGATCTCTTCTGGCAGCTCGACAGAGCGGCGCGGAGCGGGCTCAATCATAGTGAGCTCCATGCTGGGGGGAGGCATGCTGCTGAAAGCAGATGCTTGAATTGAACTTGAGAAGAGTGGTTTGTTTGCAAGTATAGAAGAAGGGTGACTCGTTGCTTTGAAGCTGATGAGGTAGAGTGGAAAAGGTAGAGTGAAAAGGGGAGGCAATATTTATATGCGCATGGAGACAGGGGTCTAGCGTGTTGACAGCACGAGGATGGCGCCGTGTGAAAATGAATGGAGACACGCAGACTTCCCCAGTAAACAAGAGGAGAGTGAGGAGCTCAAGAGAATGCAAGGTCCCTGTCAAATTTTGACTCTCACACTCGCTTCAGGCTGGTTTTTCCAGCTCCGTATACGTCACTCCACTGTCTTGGCAGCTCTGGCTCGTGGCATATGTCTCTGTAGAACTGACATGAACCCTTCTGTGAGACCCCACTGGCTACAAAAAGATCACTGGAGGCGTACCAACAGTGACTGTCCTTGGTCTGGTGGTGAGATGCTTGCAGTGATCCCCTTGTAAACAAAAGAAACGGTGCCTGAACAGGAGCAAGACTCGTCAGACAGGCGATCACCGTTTGTAGGGAAAACCCACTAAAGACTGGGGACTAGTGGATTTGGGGGTGGGGGGTGCGGGGAGTCCCCGGGCCGCAAGTGAAAACGTCGAGTACTTGCTCGCTGCGTTTTGTGAGCCGTGCCCTAGTGGTACGAACAGAGTCGTAGAACAGACGTCTTGTCCTTGGCTAAGGTGGTAGAGCCAGTGTGTACAAGATATCCAAGAGTTCAAGAAAATATCCATCCTCACTCTTTCTGGAATGCTCTGATCGTAGCACGTCTCCAAAGGGAACGAGCTGTGAAACCCCCGTGTGTAGGCAGTAGTTTTCGGCGCTAAGTCGACTCATCTCCGACCACAACACCATCTATCAACAAAAGACACCCACGGCATGAGGTGTCAGAGTAATCCTTCCTGAAGCAGGCTGAATTCTTAACAGGAAAATTGACAATCCACTCTTCCGGAGCCAAGAGGACGGAGAATCTATTGGCGAACGGGCGCCGGCCACAAACACGCAGACAAATCGAGACTCTGAGACGACGGAGCGCAGCCACTCAAATATGCAACGGCATTCGACCAGAGGCGGAATCGCTCGAACCGATACACCGAAACGAGTACTGGCATAATTGGAATTGATACCGCACAAGGTTGTGCCGGATACCTGGCAAACTCATCAGGCGGGGCTCGAAGATGTCCACTTCAGAACCAGGATATGCTCAACTTGGCCAGTGACACATCCAGGCTGTCAAGGGAGTTACAGGAGGCCCATTCGATAACCAGGATAAGATACTGTTGGCTTCCTCAATCGCCACGCGCCATGGCTAAACAACCCAGCAAGGGGGTGCCACGGTTTGCAGAAAACCGAGTATAACTTAAACAAGCTCGTCCAAGAATCTCTGGGAGAAACTCGAAAGCTTGTCACAGTCAACAATTGATCATAACGACGAAATATCATCGATATCATATCAACGGCTACATGAGAGGCAACAGCGCGAGACGACCAAGCTCAGTGGCATTGATTGAGTAAGGAATCCAGGGTTCGAACGTCATGCAAGGATCCAGAGAAGCCCTCGGGCAGGCCCTTCAATTCCAGAGGTTGACAGGGTCGCAGAGAACTCAGGGTAGCGTCAACAAAACAGGCGTTTGCAGTCGACTGCCGCCACGCTTGGGATTCAGAGATGATGTTTCTGGGCGAACAAAAGTCCAATGGGCAGTAGGACACATGTTGATGGGCGATTTACAGACAAGGGCAATGATAGGTTCAGCAGAGGAACGGTTCTGTTCAATATGGGCATGCACAGGAGTGCAGTCACCCACGACAGTGCTGAACGAGAATCTGCAAGATAGATTAGTTAGGATTCACGACAACAAGCTCTATATATAAAGTGCACATGGGTTAGTAACGCGGCAAGGTTAGAGGTTCGACTACGGGCAGCAGGCGGAGAGGTTTGTGGTTCGTGAGTGAGAGGAGAGAAAACAGAAGGGAGGAGGCTGGCAAGGAAATGACAAGGCTCTGGAGTGGCCCATGCACGCGCGCTAGTACTACTGGCAGTCACCCCGTTGCCGTTGTCCGCCTATAGCTGCGGACAATCACTTCACATCGCTCCAAAATAGATTCACCGCTTTGCATGCACATTGTCTCTAGATCTTGCCCTGTGATGCTATGACCAAGAGGCCTCATGCCAGTATATCCGCTTCGCATGCAGAGCCTCTGGAGCGGCAAGCATCATACGATGGCGAAGGCAGCGCCAGCCATGAGGACGGCGATGCGTCATCGCTGAAAAAGGCGCGCTCTTTCATGGCCACTCTGGTAAGCTAAGCTAAGCTGTGAATGGATCACGTGAAAGCGTAACTGACGCAGATAGGCCTGCGACGTATGCAGGTCGAGAAAGACTCGATGCGACGAAGACCGACCAAGATGTGGCTACTGCAGGACCATGAATCTCGAGTGCACTTACCAGGCACCGCGAGCAACAAAGAAGGACCAGTCTATGGCAGTAGCTATCAACGCCATCCGAAGGCTTGAATCCAAGATTGAAGATCTCACTGCTGCCATCAATGCACCCAAGGCTGCAGTCACGTTGCCACTTTCCCCTGCAGGACCCGTCCCGGACCATCACTCGCCTTATGCCACTCTTTCTCAGCCCAGCCCTGGCAGCTATGCTACAGCCGCGCCTTCAAACAGTTTGCATCGCAACAGGCTGAGCATACACGACATTGCAATGTCCCCACAGGTTGTTGGAACGCCAGCCAAGAGCCCCTTTGCACTCCCAGAAGCACAGGGCGCCGTGGATCTCTCCTTCAGCCAGCATCGGGTTGCCTTGTGGCCTGCCGTTCAACAAATCCTTCCCGAAGTGTTTGTCTCAGCACGCAAAGAGCTTCCCGAAGACTACATTGTCGATATCGAGAACCATAGACTGCCACTGCCAATGGGCATTAGCCATCCGTACAACACTAGTCCCGACAGTTGGTTGATGAGTCTCCCGCAATCGGCGGTAAAAGGTCTCGCAGATGCCTACTTTGCGGTATTCCATCGAAATACACCTATACTAGACAAGTACCATTTCTTCTCAAGCACGTTGGGTATAGCGATGGATAACGAATTCGGTTATGAAATCGAGACGGCGTTGGTACTTGTTGTACTAGCGTTGGGATGCTTAGCCATCAAGGCGCATGAAGAAGGCAACTTTAGTCTTCCTTCTCGGCACTCTGCGACTGGGCGAGGCTTTGTTCCTCCCGAGTGGTACGAGCTTATTGTTGACGAACCTCCTGGCCTCAAGTTCTTCAATGAAGCCCGGAAGCGCTTTGGGTTTCTCATGTGCCAGACGGATCTGCAGGCTGGCCAGTTTTACATGCTATCGACGCTTTACTACGCCCAAATCCTGCGACCCTTGGATTCCTGGACTACGGTGAACAGAGCTGCCCTGTGTTGTGCGAGCATTCTCAAACGCACGTCAACGATCGATTATGAGACGTGGGAGGGGGATATGCTCTCGAGGCTCTTCTGGTGCACCCTGATGTACGAGACAGTGATTACACAGGAGCTGGATCTACTGCCTCATAGTGGGCTGTTGGACTACGAGTCAGACATAGCTTTGCCAAAGTTTACACAATGTCCACGGCCTAAGACGTTGATTTCAGGACTACTCAGCGACGAAGATGATTCTCTGTTCAACTTCCATTTCCTTGCCCAAGCCGCGCATCGCATCATTCTCACTCGGGTGAAGCAGAGTCTGTATACGTTTGCGGAGAAGGAAGGCTACCCCAGTGCCAGTCTGACAGCAGAAATGCATCACCAACTCGAGCAATGGCGAGAAAATCTTCCACCAACACTTCAGTTCTCTGATAGTGACGATTCGAGCGACTCGGTCAGCCCTGCGCATGTTATTGCAAAGGCCATGCTGCGCAGTCGCTACCTGGTTGCCAAGTTGCACATTGGACGGCCTTTTCTCTACAAAGCACTGCATGCGCCTGCATATACCAACGAGTCCGAGTATGACGAAGTGCGCAAGGGCCTTCGAGGTGGCATGTATTGGCCGACAACCATGGGCCTGTGTACACAGATGCTAACGGCTCTGCCTATAAAGTTTGGGTGGTGCTGCCAATGTTTTGGGCAGGTTCTGCTGTTCCACGCCGTAGCGCTGTCTCCCGACGCCAAGTTGCGAGACACGTTACCTGAGGGATGGCGAGAATGGGTAGGGATCATGATGGCATTGATTCAGAGCTGTGCAAAGAGCAGTCCCGGTATCGCAAAGGACTATGAATTGTTGCGCTTGCTGGACGGATGAGTGTGTTTGGGTCGGCATTACTCAGAGTCTATGTATAGTAGGCACTAACCAGAAGGCTGCGGAGCTGACGGACCCCTCAACCAGGATTGCATGCTTAGGGAATATGTACCGCGCAATTGGCCGCCGGACATGACTGCGCCATATTATATACGCGGTGCCACAATGAGCAGACCCCAGCCACGCGTGGCGTGGTAGGTAGTACAGTCTAGGCGCTTTACGGGGCAAAGATACGTAGTGCTGGAGGGGCACGGGGTTGAGTGGGATGTAGGCCTAGCGCCAATGGTATGTCCCCATTTGAGCTGGGTACGAGCGGCGGCTTGCGTGTACTCACGATTATGGGAGGCGCTTGTTAGACTTTAGCTAGCATGTTTATTTGAAATGGCACGACCTCGTAAATGAAAAAGGGGTCTTGAACAGGTCAGATAGCATCGGCCCAGTCCAGAGAGCTGATAGAGGAGCACGACAATGCCCAGCAGCCTGCCCAGAGGCCATACATACCATCTGCACTCGTAAGTACATGTGAATTCTCGCCTTGGATCGACAACTGGCAGCATCGCGCCTTCCTGGAGTTTCAGCCTTTTCCGTGCCGGCAGCTATCCCCGATTCACATACGCTAGGCCCGTCTGGGAACTAGTCGTCGTGCTGCATAACAAGGATACAAACCACTCTGGTCTGACACGCACTTCTCCTTTGGAAACACGACTACCAACAACTTTCTTACACTCCTTTCGTCTTCCTTTGCTGGCTTCTGGACTCGATTTGTTGCGTCTTGCTACCCTTCCACACCTCTTACCTCGCCATCCACCTCCGTGTTTTATTCCTGGCATATTCCTTTTGCCCTAGCGCTGCCGTTTTCTGTTCCTTGTCGGTTTGCGCAACTTGGGTTGTTGTATCCTACCCTCTGTCGACTCGAATTCCCCGCAGCCTTCTGAATACTCCCGGAGTCTTCCTTGTGGCGCACACATTGCGCGTATCCCTTGTGCGTATCTCGACGCAGAAGAGAGACGATTGCGACATCTGCCGGTGTTGGAGTCGAGGCAACACCACAAAACCGGGCCTCTACGTGCCCTGAGGCGCTGCATGCCCACCTATTCTATCGAAATTCGAACAATTAGAGTCAATCATGAGTGATTACTCGTACCAATCGTTGGCAAACATGGGGCCGCAAGGCCGGTGGCGTCGTGTCTTACTCGTCGCCATGGTGCCAATAGTGCTGGCATTCATTTACTACAGCACTCCCTCCTCATACATACCTGCAGGTCTTTCTTCTTCACCGTAAGAACCACTTCCATCCCGGTAGTCTCGACCTGGCTGACATTCTCTAGATACCCGCATACCCAAAATGTAACCCTTCCACAAGACGATCTAACAATGGCGACGATAATAAAAGCCCTCTATGGCCCCGTATTACACCCAATAGATGCCCCAGAGTTCACAGATGAAGATGGAGATGTATACCGGTTGCCCGGAGAACCGAGATTTAAGAGCAAGCTGGGGAAGAAGGTCCTGATTTTGGATATCGACAGTAGGCCCTTGACGGAAGACGGTCAACTTATGAACAAGCACTTGAAATGGAAGGGCATGCGGTCACTTTCCGCCGGCATGCTGGGTCACTACATGTTTGGTATGTATTCCCGAGACGGATGCAGGGCACCAATGGATCCATGGCACGGCGCAATCTAAGTAATGCCTTGAATGACCATATCCCCGCCTTTTGGTACGAATTGAATACCCACGCTAACATATCAACAGCTCAAATACACGGCTACGACTACAAGTTTATCCGCGCACCCGACTACGAAGACCGTTGGGGCACCTGGGTCAAGGTACCCATGATGAAAGAAGCCCTCAAGACGCACGAATACATTGTCTTCATGGACTCGGATGTCATGTTCCACTACCCCCACCTCCCCCTCGAATGGCTCCTAAACTACTGGAACATGACCGACGACACCCTCGCCATGATGTCCATCGATCCCAACGAGCCCCAAAACTACGACTCAAGGGGCAACCGCTACCTCAACACGGGCTTCGTCATTGCCCGCCAGAGCAAGCGCACTCAGGAAATGTACAAGGCTTGGGCCGAGTGCCCCTCGGAAACCCGCTACAAGGGTTGCGCCAAGTGGAAAAAGGGCTGGGCCCATGAACAAGCCGCTTTTGGAAACTACCTCCGCTACGACTACGATCGTCCAGATGATATCCGCGTTCTCCCTTGCGTCGAGGCTAATGGCGCGCCCGAAGCGGAGAAGAGAGGTGGCTGCAAGGGCGTTTTCGTCCGACATTTCTGGGTCGACAAGGGCCTTGTCGCGAAGAGTCTTGCCGATAACGTCATGCAGTATTTCCTGCCAAGACTTCACGAGACGTATCTGGCGTCGTCGAACGAACACATTGTTGATGCCAAGGGATACAGGCTTGAGGGCGCCGAGTTGATTGAGATGACGGATGCGGAGAAGGAGGCCGCAAGGAAGGGCAAGGGCAAGAATCAGAAGGATGAGGGATGGTAGTTTTTTTTTCATTTCTATCATCTTTTCCCTCCTTCCTTTCTCACTACTACGTCCTCTTTCTACATCAACGTTTTTTACCCTGGGAATGATATATGCTTCTTTTTTTTGCAAAGGGAAAGCAAATGTGGCGGTTTTTTCTTTTTCTGATGAGCAAATATTTTATAGAAGAAATAGGGAGAGTGGCAGGCGGAACTATGTTTTCCATCTTTCTTTGTTTTGCATATGTATGTACGTTCTTGTTTTGGGAGGTTAGTTGTGCGGCTTTTCTTTTTTTTTCCCCGGGAGTTTAAAGTACTAGGATTTGCATAATATGTATGAAATCAATTAGGTATTTTGCAATGTCGAGAGTAGTAACAGAACAAAATTTGATTATGTGCTTGTGCTGTTTTCTGTGATTCATGGTTTGGATGATGTGCGGTGGAGAAGTGGTTCTAGAGATATCTAGGATTGGGGTGGTTCCTCATGACTTTGTACATGAGGTATCAGTTCAGCCTTCCATTCTCGCTGCCGTGGTAGTGCACCATTTGCCCATACATGTCCTTCATTTCACCATCGAGTTTCACTCTTGTTCCGCGAATTTTCCTCCTGAGAAGTGAATCATAGTCTTCCCTCTTTCTACAGCGTTATACCACATGAAATGTCCTATTGTGTGACGCAGCCGCACAAAGTTGCTCATCATCTTGCCCTCTTCCAGTGGCTCCATTGCTGTGGTTTCGCTTTAGTTGTCTGACAGCTCATGACATGGCGCCTACTTTTTCGTTGCTCTCTCTGCAAGGCCGTTGATGATGCGGTTATGTTCGTCGCAGCTTGTTGTATCACATGCACAGCGAGATTCCGTCTCTATAACAACCTTTTTAGCCTGCAGCACAAGCTCGAGTCCGCTTATCAACTTGTCCAAAAATGCGAAATGTCGCGGACAAGCGCAGCATTCGCATTCCGGCCCACTTTCCGTACTACTGGGAAAATTGTCGCATGTTATGGAGGTGTTGATGAAAAGAGTCTGCAGATTGTCGAGACGTGGATGTATTGTTGCCTGATGGTCTTGTACGGTTTTGGCAAATCTTGTAGCTTCGGCTTTTTCATTGGGGCAGGTAAAGGCATCGGTACGGAAGTTTTTACTAGGTCGGAATAAGGTTACTCCCTGGCAACTAAACAGAAGCTCTTTTAAAGTAAAATCAACGTGTAATCCCAGACAAAGCATCATGTGTCGGATCTTCCTGGCACAAGAAGCTTTTGGCCAGCTGGTAGTACAATCGAAATGAAGAAGGAAGTGTACTATGAAGACGTTACGTTTGTAGTAGGCTTCTTGTGCAAGAAGGGCCATGTTTCTATTTCTAGTTGCGATTAGAGGAAAGAGGTGGTCATTTAAGCGCTTCTGGTGTGAATCTTCCATACTGGAGTCGTACGAAGGAGTCCCCCGGTAAATGTCAATACCTCCAGTAAAGGTGAGCAAATACGACAGAACCTCAAGCTTGAGCTCATTAGGAAGCTGAGGCCAGTCGTGAAAAGTGGTTGGCGCTCCCTGAACTACAGGTAACCCCTCGGCCTCGGAGGAGTCAGGAAGCGTTGCCATGGTGCGTTTGGTGGCGACTCAACCGTTTCGAAGCTGTTGTTAGTAAGTGAGAGGTACTTAAACAGAGAATATTGAAGGTAAATTACTGATGGTTTCAGCTTTAGTGGATGTTTGCGGCAGTTGAGAATGTAGAGTGTGAGGGAACTGGTTGAGCTTCGAATGTAGAGTGTTAGAAGATGGTAAGAGACTTTGAGCCCGAGTGCTAGCGCTGCAGGTGAGACGAACGTGCGAGGGAAAAAAGGGAAGGAGAGAAGGAGCTGCTGCTTATTCAAGGCGAAGGAACTCTCACTCATATTCGTTGTGACAGTAAAAGAATTTGGTCCGCGAATCATCAACGAAGAAAGATAGCGCTGAAGATTTGATTCGTCTACACGCACGTTGGATCTTCTTGTATACAGCCAACAAACTAACTTGCTACTAACAAGAATCTCATTTCCCACCAACATTGAACAGTCAAGCTATTTCCAGCGCCCCTAGCCACTACCGTCTCACTTCCACAACCATGGTTAGATACTACCAGCAACCAGTAGCAGTACACCTATGTGACATCCAGGATTGTTAAAAAAACGACCTAAATATCACCGCATGCGATGAGACGCAAATCACTCCACACCAACATTCCCTCCGAATTTCGCATCTCTTCACAATCGAATCATGGGCTTGATCAAGCTCTCGCGGCGACGGCGCACTGCACCCAATCACGCTCGACTCGTCGAACAACCATTTTACGCATCGCTTTCTCGGCTTGCACATCTTCTACCATCACCGCCTCTTCCTCCGCCTGGTACATCACCATCGTTTCCGCCAATTTTTCCGCCTCCTCCACCACCACCACCGGCTCTTTTACCTTCATCGCTTCCAGTGCTACCGGCACGACCGCCGTTTCTATCTTTGCCTTTGCCTCCATTCCTATGAAATTGGAACTACGTTAGTATCCCTGACCGAACGTGCACATTTTAAGTAACTCCACAAAGCACTACGGACATACCTGAGCGATATATGAGAGAAAGGTGAGGTGTCTAAGGAGCGCTATGGTTGCCACATCGGGATCTATACATATGCGTAATGCTACAAAAAAGGCTGCAACCACAATCCTTTTCCCCATTTCTCATTCCCCCCCCCAAAAAAAAATCCTGAAAAGACTTGTACGCGTACTTGAGAAGCCCGAGTAACCGCTCTCCTCTACACCTCGTGCTCAATATCCTCCACCCTAGGCACCTTGTGCAAACTAACCCCACAAAACCTCGCCGTAAGCTCGCACTATGTCGATTCGTCAGCTCAATCATCGCTTCAAACAAAAAAAAAGTCTAAGCCCCAAGAGACATTTTGTACACAGCCTTGCAAACGGAGTAGAAAGGAAGGGGAAAGAGAGGGTGAAACATACACACTCCCTGATAACCTCGACATCCTCCTTCGTCACCCCAATCCTCCGCAAACCCCGTAGGTGCCACGCCGATTCACGAGCGAGATTCTGCATGACGATACCCGTCAGGACTGTGATTTCCGTCTCGATATCGTTGAGCACACTGTGATCAGACAGAAAAAGGCCGTAGGTGATGTTTTTTGTAAGCCAACCTGGGTAAACCCATACATATCAGCATTCCTCTCTTTTTTTTTGTTCAGCTAAAGGGTTATGATAAGGGAAGAAAGGGAAAGAAGAAAAGATTGCGGGGGTGGGGGACAATCTCACCAAAATCCTTATTAGCATCAAAAGCATTGTTAATCTTGCCCTGGAGGTTATTCTGGTACAACCGTCCCAACCACGCTTCGCCGCGCTGCAAATTCGCTTCGTCGCATTGCCATCCTTCTCTGTGCTCGTCACCTTTTGCATCAGTAACTTTCTAATCGCTTTCACATAGTATTTTTTTTTAAAAAAAAAAAGAACCAAACAAGACAGAAAGGAAACAAAGAAAAGGGGGATAGTATATCATACCGTGTACTCGTCAAATCCCTATCCTCCTCCCTCTCCACCACAGCATCAATGTCAAACACCGCCTCAAGCGGCTTACACACACCAACGATAATCACGAGTTTAAACAGTACCTCGCGCATGCGCCGCAGTAACTTGCGTCGCTCCTCTGCACTTTGGTACTGCGGCCGTGCAATAAGGTGTTTGTAGAGTAAAGGGGCGAAGTTGGGTTGGCTGCCGCTGACTATGGTTGCGAGCTATATATATATATATATATTTTTCAACACACATATGTATGGTGATGAGGGGGGTTTGGTTCGAAGGGGTGCCGGAGGTAAGGAGAGGGGAAAACTTACGGCGAGAATATACCACTTATCCTCCCCAAGTGTCTTAGCTGGAAATTTTTCTTCAATCGCTTTGAAGAGTGCGAGGGCTTTGTCGGCGGTGGGGTCGCGGGGTACATTTGTTTCGCTGGTAGTCATCTTGATTTCGTATATTCAATCCTGCTTTACTAAAAATCCCCTCTAGTGAAGATGAGACCACAGAGCTTGTATTGTAAGAGCAAGAAACTTGGATGTAAAGAATACAAGCTCTTTTTTTGGTTTTTGGCAAGTTGTTTGTCACGTTGTGGCTTTTTATAGGGTTTTGTTGACTGGGCCGAAGTTCGGGACTGCACGGGAAGGGTAGGGTGCGTAGTACACATAGTAAGCAATTGGGGTGGGGCGATCCTAACGCGCGCCGCTCTAAAGCGGGGTAGTGAGACTTACACTATATGGCTTTTGCGGAAGGGATGTTCCTCGGAGAAGGAAACAAGGCTTTTGTAGATCATGTAGCTTGTTTTCTTTGCAATTGTAGAGACACATGGGATAACTGGAATGCGCGGAAGGTGAATACCTAAAATGGATACTTGCTTTGGGCGAGCTGTACCTAGACTTGAAAAAGGTGATATTGCATTTTGCACCTCAGTTGTCATACCCGTTGTAATCCAAAATCAGTACAAAGAAACACACTATATATTGCATGTGTTGGGAAGAACGGAGAATGTGATATTTACCATAGAATATAAAACATATACATCCCAAGCATCAAAGCCTAAACCCATCGTCCTTACTACGATATTCCGCCCCATACTGATTCTATAGTACGCTGAAGAAGACGCTAAAAATGAAAGTAGCAATATACCATCCACTGCCTTTACTCAATTTGGTTGACCAATATCCCAAGCGGGGTCAAGGATATCAGCGTTGAACCAGTCCAACGATGGCTGCGACTGGAACAACTGCCACATCATGTTATCGTTCCAGGAAGAATTTATCATCCCATTGTTTGTATCACCGTCGCTATTGGACAATATATCAGGGCCATGGTTGAAAGGCATCGATGTAGGATATGGCGCCAAAGACGTGGTGGGATCCGAGGTTGGTTGCATTTGGTTGTGTGCACTTGGGCTCCCTACCAAAGGCTTGCAAAGACCGAGAAGTGTTGCGCAGAGTCGATGCAAACGGTTGACGTATTTGTTCTCTGTAACGAGCGACGAGATGCAATCAATCACATCCTCGAGAAGCTGAAAGTCGCGAGGGTCAGAGGTGCCAACCACATTGCAGAAGACGACAAAGAACGGACACAGAGGATGTGACAACAAAGTCCTATGTAATGTTAGTAAGCCGTGCATAACTCCAGATACTGCATCTTACCATGATAGATACGGGTCAAAGCCTTCGATGAAATGATCCAAGGTCCTTGCGAGCTGTTCGATCATCTTGACACATTCGAGCGCCTTCCGTGCACTCTGAAGACACTCTTCTCGCTCCAGGTAGTTCGTTGTGACAGTGGGGCTCAGCCTGTGAACAGATGTCAAGAGGGAGAAGTACTTGAACTCCATACTCTTGTAGTGGATAAGAGCATCAGTTCTACTATCCAATAGGTGCAATTGACGCTCCTACACAGTAATTAGTATCCTCGCACCAATCGCAACTCTGGACCAGGTAGGTTACCTTCTCCATCAGAATATATATGTCTTTCATCTGAGCTCTTAACTGGGCTACCTCTTCTTTCAGAGCACCCGGCGATCGTTTAGTGCGCTGAGGGAGAGACAAGTTCAGAAGCTTGTCTTGCACAGAGACCAACTCTAGGACACTCATAGGGTTTGAAGGGTCTGCTCGCAGTTGGTCGTGGATTTTGATTTGAAATTTGGGAAGTGACCTCGGTCGAAGAAGCAACAGACTCATGGCACTGTCGAGCTCTGCACATTGGGCAACAACGGCGTAAATCTCACGCTCTTCGTCAGTCTCTGGTACTGTCTTGTCAATATTATGGTATCCGAGTGCTACAATCGTTTGCGATGCGTGAGCCGTGAGTTCCCAGCACTGTACAGGGTTGCCTATGATTTGCATCATGATGGCCTGTGTATGATGAGCTACAGAGTAATATTGACAGGGCCAGATGACTTACTCCTGTCACCAAAGCTTGCACTAGAAGGAGAGAGGGTGAGGTCATGAAGCTTATGTTGTCCAAGGCGGTAAGTGCGGCTATTATGTGATCGTACTCCATCTGTTGGATTTGCTTTTGCACTGCAGCGCTTTTGGGCGCTTGCAACTGGCTGGCGTACATGACGACAGCGGCTTGGAAATGGATTACAACCTTGTAGAGATTCAAGGTTTTGTCGTCGGCAGTGCCTGCCATTAGGGCAAGAGCGATTCTCTCAATGGCCTTGGGCGGTATGTGGTCGATGGTATGATGGCGAACGGCAGCTTCACTCCGTGCCTTGAACTCACCTAAATTGGCTGTCAGCCTGATAATAGACTGCGAGGCAGGAGAACATACTTCCAAGAATGACATTGACAATTTCGCGTTGGGAAAGGTCTGTGGAGACATGCATGGACTTATCAAAAGTACTGCGGTCTGTCAAGTTTTGTGCGGGCGCGTGTGACAACTGATCAACAAAGGACATGGCAGTCTCAAGGACCGAGCGTTGGTGTTCAGATAGTAAGCCATTGGTAGAGAGCTCTTTGGTGATGTGTAATCGAGCTTCGTTTGCTGTTTGCGAAGTTGTGTCAACTTCTGGCGTTGTTGGAGGTATTGATACTTCTTG